TTTTTTTTTTTTTTTGATTACCAAAACGTTGCTTATCAGTCTCAAATGGTTTTTCATTCACTGTTGAAGGGCTTAAACTTTCTTAGTTTGAAGTCACTTTTTTCTGACAAAGCTTCGCTCTTTTAGGTGCAGTTTTCGCATAACTCTTCGATATTGCTTCACGATGTAAAGTCTGGAGCCGAAATACTGGATACACTTTCAAAGTACTTTTTACAGATTTTTATGGAACTTTTTGAACATAAATTAGGCATTACGGCGTCTTCACTTAATTTCTTGACATTGACATAATTACTGGAAAGTCTGTCCTTAAGTTTTTTGAGCGCTTGTTCGAGGGAAACAAGTTGATATCATGAGGCTAATGATTTGGTTTTTCGGTCAAAAACCTTTTTTTAGTGTGAAGGTTACTGGCTCTTCAGACTTACTTTCTCTTTTCTCACTTATGAAGATGGAAAAAGCAAGTAAGGATAGTGTCCTTGTTGTTATTGCAGATGCGTCTTCATTTACTACGGTTTGTTCGTTATTCGAGCAGTTTCATATTTTCTTATGTTTCTTTTCACTTTCAAAGTTAAGATGAAGAGTTATTCTCATAATTTTACTAACTTATGTTTTTTAATTATTTTAGGGACCAAGTTTTTTGCCTAAAAATTCCGCATTAACAGACCTTACTACGAAAGTTCTTTGTTGTTCTCAAATATTGATTTATCTTGAATCACTTTATTCTTGTGAGCAGAGTTAATTTTTTAATCGATTGGACTGGAAGATAGGAGTTGACTTTTTCATTTAAGTTTATTGAGTGGATCGACCTCATTATTTGTGTGCTTTTTACTTTTTCCATTTATTCTAAATATATTCGGAAAATTCAGGAGGAAATAAAATTTTCTCATTTACCCGAATGTCCTATAGTAGTTGCTTGCGTCCTTAATGAATTCAAGGCTGATACTGGACAAATAGCTCGATTCATGTTCCTATCAGGTGGACCTGGTTATCCTTCATCTTCCTTTGTTCTTTATAGGTTGTCATGCTTAGTATGACAATGATTTTGTACTACTTGTCATTAGTAAACTTATCATTATCTTGTTGTAACCTCTGTAGAGTAATTTTATTTTCAGCGCAAGTTGATGGGTTGAGCATGTCGTCACTAATGAAGAAGGGAGTATTCGAGAAGTACAAACCATTTTTTAAATCTGATTTTGAAAAAGTTGAATGTTTTGCAGCCGCTTTATCAGAAGCTATTATTCCTTGTCGAGAATTTTTGCTTAGATGCGGTATGCTCTCAGCAACAGTTCAGGTTAGTTTGAATAAGCATTTCAAATTCTGAAATTTCACTATATCTTTGAGTTGGAACCACTTTTAGATTGTTCCTGCAGACTACAGTTGTAAATGGGAGGATGTTATTGAAATTATTGGGTTTTCCAAGGCAGTTAATCTTGGGAATATACCAACCTCAGATCACCATTTCCTGAAATATCGGGAAGGTTATTTTTTAAAAGAAATTTTTTAGCACTTATTGTCTATGAAAACATTTGCATTTGTAACTGGACTTTTTTAAAAATAAGAGTAGTGGAGCATTGCTTGTGACGGGTAATTACAGGTTACCTTTCAAATTTACGTTGCTTCCTGCTCGGTTAGCAACATAAATTGTTTTATTTCTCTTCTATTACTGCATCAAACTAGTTTCAGAGCATAACGATGTTGATGATGCTAGTGTTAAAGGTTTTTTGAATTTGTTATGCAGTACTATGAATAGTGAGGAAATGACAGCTATCTGTCGTTTAAATTCTGAAACCTATGGTATTATCTCAGCAGTAAAGTTAGTTTTTTCTTGTCGAACGTAATCTTTTGCTTGGAACTTTTGCGCTGAGCCGTTACTGTTATAGGAACGAAAGAAAGGATAATTGTTTGCTGATTCAGTGTTTGCCGTATGGGACGAAGTCTGTTTATTGGATGAAGAATTTTGAGAAGCTGGTTTGTAGAGTAAGTTGCTTCAAGTATATAGCTTAATAATCTATATTTACTTAATTGCTGCCCTTTAAGTCGCAAAGGCTCATTTCTTTGCTACTTGTAGTGCATAACAAACGGTGATGATTTCAAATTGTGTCTTACTTCCGATGGCCTTCCGAAACCTTCCTACTCTTCACAGAGAACAATATGGGACGACTCTTTTGGAATTCAAAGCGATATACAAAAGATATTACGCTTACTTAAGAAAATCCCTGATAGAATGCCTGCATTTTATACAGTATGCAGATTCTTTTCACTGACACATTCCTTTGCTAGAGAAAGTTTTTTAAAAAATTTTTTTTATTTTTAGGAATTGAATCGTGTGCATGCTTATGCATGCACGATAGGAGCAGAAGACATCCACGACAAACTTATCGACCTCATCGAAGCTGAAGCAAGCAACCAATCTCCGGTTATAAAAAAGCATAGTGCTTATGTCTGTGCGAAACTAAGGTGATTTTTGTTTGAAAGACCCCGGCTGTCTGTTGCTTTTGGTTTTGCCGCTTTCTGCGGGCTAGGAATTTGAAGTTTTCTGACATTTTTCAAGGGTTTGGGAAGTTGCTGTTTTGACTTCAATTTTAATTCCATATTGGGATTGACAAAATTTACTGGATTTTTTCGTTCTTATTTAATTTTTTAGGAAAATGGGTTTGAACGATTCATCTGAAATAATACCTATTTCTTGATGGGTATAGAGGTATATTTGTCAGTCAGTACACGACGTCTTGCTTGAGCTGGCCTTTTTTGTAGAGTTGAGCTGGTTCAACCGAGAATCTGCCGGAAGGTTTTTCAGTTCTCATTCTGTTTGTGCTTGTTAGTTATTCTGATTTATCTGTAAATATTTGGAAATCTCTCATTGCCTTCATGATTGTTGTTTTTAAAAGTCACATCTTTTTTCATAAGCAGGATTCTGATTAGGCAGTAGCTGAATTGTGGAAATCTTTAATTTTGTTACGGTTTATCATTTTGTAACCTGGAATTCATTTTGCTTTCTGGATTTCCTTCCAGCTTTGAAAAAGTTAAAAAGTAATGGCCCTTATCAGCGGCTGCAAATTTCCCAATTTATTGCTTTCTGACATCTCAAGTGAATTAGCTAAATCAAGTCATTTAATAGATGGAAACGTGAATTGGGTCATGATCATAGTGATAAAGTGGCGTATTAAAGTGCATTATTTTTTAAAATTTTTTTTATGACTGTAACATTAATGGTCTTAGTGGAGTATTTTGAGGATGGCATTCCAACAGTTATGCTTTCTAACCTGCTGTGCACGAGTTAAAAATTGTTTTAAATTGAATCTTTCATTGTTATACGTTGATTTCTTATAGTCTTTATCTATATAAGCATCTGTGGTGGTTCTTGTAGGTAGAATTTTTAGAGCTGCTTCTTATCTCATCTTTACTTCGTAGCAGTTATGTTTTACTGCTTAGTATAAGTATCTGTTGTTGCGATGAAAGCTAGCTTCTGAACTGTTTTAGGCCATAGCACTTTTCATTTTTCAAAACTGCAACCTTGAAGCTCCTTTTTGCGCAAAACCTTCTTTACCAGTAGTAGTTCTTCTTTGCCTTCAGTTAAAAATTCCATTAAAGTTGTTGTCAAAGTCTTTCAGGATGGCTTCAAACCCCTGTTCTTTAGGCAGTTTTAAATCTAACTAGACCGTCATGAAGCGGTTCTGGTGTTAGCCATGTTCATATATAGTCAGGAAATTAGTGTTCTTTATTGTAGGTTAAGTCAGTGTTGTTTTGTCTGCTGTCATCTCCTCTAGCATACCTCGGAGATCCCGGCGAGTACTGATGGAATCTGACCTCAGTTTCCTAGTTTGGAAAAGTTTACTACCTCTTTGCCCTAGTGCAGATGAAGATATTACACCTCCTGTATGAAAATGTCCCTCAGTGCTGCTCTAAAGGGTTAAGCGCGTACATAATCATGTCAGTTCATGTTATATCCATCGCCAATGCTGGTGACTTGAGGTCTGGAGACCTCTAAACGAAGAGTGTTGGAGACGCATTTATTCATGAGATTTTGAGGTTTAAATGAGGGTTTTATTGTGGATATTTTTGTTTGTGAAGTCTGATCTCTCAGATGTACTTGGTCTTTTAGTATTAGAGCTGTTGCTTACGCAAAAGAACCGGTTGCAATTTTTATAGTCGTTAAGAACCGTAAACTTTTATTTAAATTGTGTCGCTGATCGTTATATGCATGTACATAGACTGTAAATGTACAGAGAATTTATATAAGCAGTGTAAAAAAGTGATAAAAATAAAGAGGTGGTATTTAATACTAGTCCAAAATATTATTTAATCCTGACTTCGAACAATAAAAGGTCCCGTGGTGACTACTACGTTCTACTGTTATCGCCCGAAAAAACTGGTTGATCCGAACTAGCTGAAAGTAAAACAGTTACATTTTGGACAAGAGCGGGCTTTGAAAATTTTCAGATTCGCATGCTAAAAAATTATTCTAAAGTTGAAATGGCAGCTTTTATTCCAACTCAGTTAAGGGAAGCTATGATGCAGTATAAAACTTGCAGCTTGTTTGTGTCATAAGTGCCCCGTAATTCAACCGGGGGTCTTCATAGATGCTAACTATCGACACCGCCACACTATCTGAAAACTTTCTGGAGTGAACTATCTTACTTCATTCATAGTTTAAGGCTAAACTGTGCAAAAAAAAAAAAAAAAACAAACCCGCTATAAAAAGTAATGCGATAAGGAGAGCCAGTACTGCAAGCCGTGTGCGCAACATCTGCAATCTTCTTTACACTCAAGAATGCAGCGAATGACTACAGTACAGGAGTATTAAGAAAAACTTAAGTTTCAGTTAAAAAATGAAATAACCTCAGTGTTAGTTTTAAGAAGGATGACTCTTACACTTTACCGCACATACGTAATCCATCACTTTACTGAGTGACGAGTCATTTCTTATTGAAACCACCACAAAATCGGTAAATTAGAGTCATAATATAACACACTACTCAAACAATCAGTTTCATGAATTTGTTCCATACATTTATGGTTAAGTGAAAAAACACAAAGCATTTTCATCCCCTAGTCTAATAAAGCCTTGATATATTTCAATAAAATAGCTTAATTCGCACATAACAGAAAGTTAAAAGTATCGAAAAAAAAGGGAAGAGAAACTGAATTGCTAAGAAAGGACAGTCGATGACAAACCTGTTTTTGTCCAAAATAACAGAAGAACATATGCTTTCGCTGTGCAGTGATCAGACATGAGACTTCGAAAATTGTGCCATTTCCAGTTCCAAGTGACAACTGAGTGGTGAATTCCTGTTGGTCTACTAAAGGGATCAATTTCAAAAAAAGCGGAAAAATAAAACTAATAAGAAATTTTTTACTTCAAAACATATGACAAAATTTATTTGAAAATAATTGAAAACAAGCCTGAACTGCAGTAATATCTGGAACAAAAGTTATTTAATTCTAACAAACATTAGATTAGAAGGTTCCTCTCACCCCTAAAAAAACACCAATATTTATCACTTTTTCACTTTGAATACCATACATCAATAAGCATCTAATTAGGTTATACACAACATTGTTCATCATCTGCTGCAAAGTTTTGAAACTAAAATAAAAGTTAAGCACATTCTAAGCATATTTCTTTTTGCTAAAAAAGTAAATTATACAGATACAGTCGTAATGGTGACAATGGTAAATGTATGAAACAATCGTGCGCTGGGGGCACCGTCGTTCGTTCTATCCCATTGCACTAGCTGAGGATTGCCACCAGACTTTTGCTAAAGTAATTTTATCATCAGATAAACAACTTGCAAGGCGAAAAAAAATGTATACATAATGTATATA